TTTAAACCACATACATTTATCTGACATTTATGCAAGTGCATGCACTACTAATAGAACAAATACAGTATTGAATGTTGGATTATAGAAAATCTGACATATTTAAACCACAGACATTCATCTCACATTTATGTAAGTGTATGCACTACTAATAGAACAAATACAGTATTGTATGTTGGATTATAGAAAATCTGACATATTTAAACCACAAACATTCATCTGACATTTATGCAAGTGCATGCACTACTAATAGAACAAATACAGTATTGTATGTTGGAGTATAGAAAATCTGACATATTTAAACCACAGACATTCATCTGACATTTATGTAAGTGCATGCACTACTAATAGAACAAATACAGTATTGTATGCAGGACCATTAAATTAAGTACCCACCTTTCTTTTTGATTTTCCTGGATCTCAAAAGTGACCTTCAATGGTTCCATTTGTGAGTCCAGTGGCTCACTGAAAAGTGGTGTCGCTCTGCTGCCCTCATCGGGTGTCACCATCTAAGAGAAATCAGTTTATAAGCATTAGTTGTTGTATGAAGGGGCTTGAATTGAGTTTATTCTAAAGCGAAAACTTCTAAAAATGACTAAGGGCGAGGAATCCCTACTGTATCATAACTGATATATAGACATTACCTGGTCTGTTCTCTCTGCAAATGGTGACATTATAGAAGGCAGTGGACTGACTGCTGTCATATCCTCAGTCAGGTTACTCGGTGCTGGAGATCTACCTTGATAGGGTGATTCACTTCGCTCTGGTATAGAGTAATCAAGCTGTCTTCGTAATCTCTGGGTAGTGTGCCAGCGTTCCACCTGCACTTCCTCTTCATCCCTGTCTTCAATTTGAACACTTTTAGCTCGCTTAGATTTCTTCTTCTTTTTTTTCTCCTTTTTTTCTTTCTTTTTCTCTTTCCGTCCTTTTTTCTGTTTGGACTCTTTGGGTGAGGTGTCTTCACCGGTTAGGAGTTCTTCTTCAGTCACATTATATAAAAATACTGGACTTTTTTCAATCGTTTTGTCAGGATCCTCATCACCTTGTTCTGGATGAGCATATTTATTATCATTCAGCCAGAGGCAGTTATGGACTAGCTGCAAAGGAAGATTTACTCTCATAGCAGGCTGACCGAATGGTAAGCCAGCACCTTGTGTAAGGCTTTGTTTACGCTGCGAGATGATGTGATGCTTTCCAGACCATCGAGTGAGCCATTCCATCAGCTGTGTCACATCGTCATATTTAGGATCCAGTTTGACATTAATGTTGGCATAAGGTGAGAAACCATGTGAAAGTCCTGCGTTAACAAATATATCACTTCCAAGGGATGCAACATCAGTCATGCTGGAGCTCCTCCTACCTAGCTTGATTACTTCACCGGGGAGAGAGTCAGATGATGGATACCTTCTGGGTGTGAATCCGACTCTTTGACCATCAGCTCCACTTTCACTCTGACTTCTCGATATTACAGCCTCTTTTTCCGGCGTAGGAATGCTCCCTTGGCTGCCATATCGTTTATGAACCACCTGTATCACTGGTTTACTTTTCTGAACAAGAGATTCTGAAAAGCTGTAGCTCCTGAACAGACCCCCACGACGTCTTGGAGAGGGACTTTTGTTCCCATGGTCCTTCATCTTGCGAATCTCTATAAAGTCAAGCTTGGTGCGAGGGGAGATTTCTTGATAACTCTGACTGCGTGATAATGATGGGGACTGCAAACTGATACCATGCCTCTGATGAATACTCTTGATGACTTTATGTGAAATAGAAGTCAACTCCTGTTCTTTTATGGCTTCACTGAATGGTGCCAAGAGAGGAAGATTGACTTTCAAATCAACAGAGCTCTCCGACGCTGATGTCAGCTTATTGAACGACACTAGGAAGAAAGTATCAAGGAATTCTAGGAAGAGCTCACTGCTTTCAAACTCTCTCGCTCCAACAACTGGCAGTTTCGGCTTGGAAGTCTCGCTTACCGTGCTGAACACCTGCATCTCCAGAGTTCCGTGCCTCTGACTTCTCGTTTCTAGATCACTCTGCTTCTCTTTACACCTCTCCTGGAAGTAATCTGCCAGTGGTTTGGGTTGAGGCGGCAGTTTTCGTTTGTTTTTTCCTGGACTGATTGGTCTTGCATCATCTGAATCACTGGTCCCATACCTCGATTGTGGGACATGTACTGTTTTCATGATCTCCATACATCTTTCAGAATACAAAATAAACATACTTAGAGGATTGAGCTTCACTACTACACAAATTTTAAATTTTTGCTCAACATTCAAATTGGTTTACAGCACATGTAGTCAGTGAATAATGTCTGATATCCACATAGACTCCGAAAAGGAAAGATATTTCTGAAAATCACAGTTTTTCTGTTGGTTACTACTACCCTTGCAATATTGGAATATTTGTAGAAACATTGCTAGTGGGATTTGTTTTGACTTTGATACTTTCAAAACACTTCAGGACACAACCATTTTCACAAGGGGTACATCTGGCGATAATGTTGATTTATTTAAGAAAGTGTATTAAATATTATATACAGAGTACACTTGGTATTTCCATTTTACATAGAAACCAAGTACTGTAAGATACTTTATTTTTGCTTAGAATTTGATTTAATATTTTACATTCAACTAATTATTTAATTTAATTGCAACTAATTATTTATAATTTAATTACATTAAAAAGAAATACCATACAAAACACCCAGAAAGTCTTTTCAGCAAAAATTAATTCCAGGTAAAATAAACATTATGAGACACTGTGCGACTCAGATTACATGGTCTCTTCCATATTGAAATTGATGCAACCACTACATGTACTTGCAATGTTAGGAATAATACTGTTACAATATAGAAAGAGAAGCCATTAGCGATTTTTTTTTTTTTTTTTATTAGAAGAACTTCTTCGGTTCTCTCGCACATGCAGAAGAGAGTTTCTGGTTATCAGGTTTTAAGGTATTTTACTAAATACCACTGTAAATTACTTTATTTTTGCTGAAGGGATGATCTAGCTAACCTTTTTGCCCATATTTTACATTTAAATTGTCAAAAATCAGTGAATATAAATTCCATGCAAAACACTCAAAGTCTTTCCAGAGTAAATTAATTCCAGTTAAAATTATTTGACAGTTGCATTATAATACTAGCTCTATACCAAAATGTGTAGACAACCAGAATGAATGGGAATTACAAACCTTTGGAATTTCTCCTCCACGGCAGGTGACACAACATCTGGATGGTAGAAATACTCAGCTAATATATTTGCAGTGTTCTTTGTTGTTGGTAACTCAGATAAAAGAGTCAGCACCATGTCTTGAATTCCAGACTCCATGTCTAGGTAGTGAGTGAACGGTAGTAAACACAGCCCCCATTTCAGAGTGTCCAAAAGAAGATGTAAAATCTCACTGAATTCAATGGTGTCATGAGGCTAATAAGATAAAATAATTCACCAGTTCAAGCTGAAGTGAAGACTATAAATCGGAAAATGATGACAATTGGTATTTTTACACTGGTATCTAGGTTTCTGTTATATACATGTTCTTTCTCATAAGACAGCACATGATAATACTTTTCATATAACTTTCGCAAAATAAACTTGTATACACTTTTTAGACCTGAGCAAATGAGCTAGCAATTTAAAAAAAAGTCAAAATGACATTTTTTTTACCAAAAATGACAAAAATATTCACTAAAATTAGAAAATTGAAGGTACAAGTATTATCACAAAATGAACAAACCTTAGAGCGGTCCAAGGTACATATATGCCAAGTATTAAAGCAAGTGGACTGGTCAGTTTAAAAAGAAGTTAAAAATGTAAAGATGACATCAATGGACATGACACCATGAACAATCAGTAAATATGAATAGCTTCACACTAAGGTAATAAAACAAATAATTGCCAATAACATAGTCCATGTTTGTATTTGACTGCATTGATGTTAGAAACAAAAAAAGGACCACAATAATTTGGAACAAGTGTGGATATGGATTAAACCTCAATTATTTTATGCAATTTGCACAAATTCAGACACCAAATATTTTACATAATAGTCCCGAAACTCCAAAAAAGCTATAGGAAAAATATTAAGCTATATGCAACTTTAACATTACTCAACAACCCACTCAATATACAGACTACATGTACATACAACATGATAATGACTAGATATGATCAACTCACCTTAAATTGAACAGACTTTTCTCGACTGGATTGGTACTTCCTAGCACATGCAGAAAACTTGTCCCTGACATGCAGCAACCAGACCAGTGTACAGAGATCTCTGAAACATGTCAGCGTCTGTGCCACTGGTGGTGGGGCTTTCATGTCTTGGATTAAATCCACACCTAGATCCACATGATCAATTAAAGACTTTGGAATGTCAATAACAAACGAAACCTCTTCTTCATCCCCCTGAAGACAGATCAGATTTTTTGGTCATGTTATAGTTCTGTTTTTAATTATTTATTTATTTGGAAGACAGGAGAGCAGGAGAAAAATCCTGATTATACCGGATTCTGTCGTAAATTCGCCCTGGGACGTTAAACGGCAGTTTGGGTTTTTAAAACAAGCATCCTGTCGGCTGAGATAGCTCCGCTGTTAGCAATGCACATTTCAATTAAAGAACTGAAGATATCATTATAAAATGAACAATATGTATAGTATCAAAGCAATCAGACTTGCTGTTTTTAACAAGAATTCAAAAATATCACTTTTCACCAAAAATGACAAAAATATTCATCAAAATTAGATAATTGAAGATATCATCACGAAATGAACAAATCTGAGAGAGGTCCACATGTAGTACCAGGGCAATTTTTCGGATGGGCGAATTTACGTCAGAATCCGGTAGGTTCGATTAGAGAAGATTTCTGGTATCTTGCAGAGTGCACTGAGAACAAGAACTGCAAACTGGACTGACAGATTTATATCACCATCCAATGGGATGTAATTCTCACAAAACCAATAGTTTCTTTGGTGATTCGAGCAAAATGTACTCTAGTTTGTACTGATGGTCATAGTCAGACAATGACCACTGACAATCACCCCAACAGACAAGTGAAATTGTGCACATATTCATGGTTCATTCAAGATTTGTAAGAAGTCACAGTTTGGCCTCAAAACATTGTAACTGTAACACATCCCGAAACACTGCCATGATACTACTGGCTTTATATGTCAAATTAGCAAACTAATTTGGGCAGCCATATTTCCCTACTTATACCCTTGGTTCCCTTTTAACTGTATATTGACAGCAATATTTTAGATTTTAACTACAATGTATATCTGAAGACTACATCATACAGGACTCTTTAAGCAATGAACATTCATACAAAAGAGAAATCAAGAACTGATCCAGATTTGTCTCCCAGTGACAACTTCATTAGTAAGATAAACAAGTGCATCGTCAAATATGGTAATATTAATGGCTGAAAAATGTGCATATATAATTAACATACCGTTGCAGCTATTAAAGTATCCTGTAGGTCTACGAGTTGTTCAACGTACCACTTGGTACAGGATAAGGTGCAATTAGCGGACGTCAGTACCAGTAAAAACAATTGTATAGTGTTAGCTATATCATGGCGAAGTTGTCTTTCTTGTATCACTTCTTCTGTTTCTTCAGTCTATCATCAAAATAACAGAGATACAGAAACCATCAAAACAGGGATTCATAGAAATGATGACTGCTATCTGAGTATTTGAAATGTTTTTTTAATTTTGTAATCAGGCATGCTCTAAAACGTGTGCAATTAAAATTATTACTCTTAACATTTCAACTTTAATTGAAATAATAGGTAATCCAGTGTTAGGCGTATGATATATGTTGAATGTCATATTCTAAGTTTTCATATGTGTATTATCAGTGTCCATATATGTTCTGTGTTCACAAGATTGTTTTTAGCGGTGCTCACTTGCATGTTTTTGATGTTCTCAGTGTTAACATATGTTCTCAAGCTTTCACATGTTCAAATGTGTTTATAT